TACCGGACTGGACATGTTTCGACATTCAGGTAAGTCCCCCAAACCCTAAAACCGATGCAGTTTTAACCTAATTCTTGTTGTGGTCTCTGCGAACGCTGCCTGCGGTGGCATCGCGCTTCGGAACCGGAAATTCGCATGATTTAATCCAAAGTGGGGCTGGCTAGTGTACGCCTCAATTTTTCGAAGGTGTATGTGACTCAGGCCGAGTGTGTCGAGCCTGGGAGAAGCCTGGCAACGCGCTCGTGCCATCAATTAGCCTCCTTGGCAGATTCAAGGAAGAAGTTGACTTCGACTACATGCTTTACGAACCAGAGTTCGTGCTTTACCGTGCCGGCCAACAGGTAGCCGACAAGCCGATGCATGCAATCCTAGACGCCTATCACCAGCGTTGGATGTAACTTGGCCCAGCTAAAGTACTTTACTCCGACGGTTCATGCGCTCTCAACAATGACACCGCCAAGTTCATCCAGAAAGCTACCAAGGCACCGGTTTGCGCATCCGTGTCAGAGGCCAGCGTCCCGAGGCACTTACATGTTATGGAGGAAATCAAGAGACTAATTGCCCCTCTTGTGTTTTCACGACTGCTGCGCGAGGACTTTTTGATCTGCAGCGCACTATCGCTCAATAGCGGCGTATCTCCATGCTGGGCATTCTCAGGTCGACAAGCGGCTTGCGTCCCAGACCTTCCAGTGGTAGACCACGAACAAGGGGTGGGAACTTCCGACCACAACAGTGAAACTAAAATCCGGGAGGAAAGTACCGAGGCCATTGCACAGGCCACGGCAGTAGCCAAGGCTAACCGAGTCTTGCGCACGGAAACGACATGAATTGGACAATGCAAAACATCGACCATGTGATCTCGTTGACTACCACCGTCTGACTGTGGACGATGGAATGGAGCGCGCCCCGGCGCACGCAACCACGCAGACCGAGGCCCGGCAGTTGCGCGCAGGTCGGCGGCCGAGCAGTCCTACTACAGCATCCAGACCAACGCAGCACATTTTATTTGGAAGTACTCATTGTCTGCGAGATCGGCTCCGACACAACGGGCACGCGCGCCGCGCTGGTCGTTATCGCGAGCCCTCCAGCGGGGGGGCTTGTTAGAGTTTGGTTACTTGCTAGTCGAGCAGGGCCACCTGCGGATAACCGCGACGGGTAGACTCGCCGAAGGTGAGCTGGGCTTGGTGGTTCTGATCAGGGGCTATTTCCATGTTCGAAATGTAGTGCGTACGCTTGGCCAACAACGCCCGCAGCTTACCCGCGGCGCCTTGAGCTGATAGTCGTGCATAAGTATGCTTTGACAATGGTGCCGCGCAGGGGTTCCATCGCTGCGACTCTGCGACTCTGGAGGCACAGCGCTAAATATTCGCGACATCACTGGGCCCGCGCATGCGCGTGCCACCGAATGCTTTGAATCGCCAGAACCGTTCGCAGCTCTCAATGAAGACCGATCTACGTTTGAGGACTCGGCGGGCTCGCCGTCGTCGAGCGACCGCGCTCGGGGGGGGGGCAACCCTCAGCTCCCGCCGCAGACGATCGGCGACTTCCGACCATCAGCGAGGAATCAGAGATGGACTTAGCAGCGCACATTTTGGAAGCATGGCACCTTGACACCCAGGGGGAAAAAGGGCCCGTGGAATTGGCTCCACTGGAACCCATATACACAGCACCTTCGGAGGTGCTCGCCGAAAAACATGCGCGCGCGACCGCGGCCAGCGAGGAGCGAAAACGCTCGCGAGAAACGGGCTGTTACCAGGGCGACGCGCGGGAGACATATCTCGTTCTTTTGATCGCAGAATGCAACGGGACCTGCGGTCAGCACGTTGAGCCGCGCTTCGTTGCTGGCTAGGTCACGACGAATATATAGCAAACAGCTCTGCCCCGCACGGCGTCTTCAGCTTGCCGGAGCCGAAGCGGACAGCCAGGCGGCGACAACTGTATCATACATGGGCATCAACTTGGGTGGCAAGCTAGCGCGTTCGCTCGCTTTCGCGGCGAATGGCGCGCGCGGCCCCCTACGGCGCGCCCAAGAAACGACCGGCATGCACGCGCGACGACTCGACGCCGCAACGCGTGAATTATAGCAGGGCCCAAAGAAAATGATATACTGAAGGGTGATATCGAATGGAGAAGTCAGAATGCATGTCGATTCAGGCTATCGACGCCACCGCGGCGACGCCGGCGACGAAGTCAAGGGGCGCGGCGAGGCGTCCGAGGGGCATGCCTCTTGCTGCGAGGCCGCGCCCCTAACGGCAAGGCAGTGGCGCGCTTGGTCGACGCGCGCTGCGCGGCGCGCCGACTGCTGGCGGGCCCAGCTACTCCGTTGATGCCCCAGCAGCAGCCCATAATTTGGAAGAAGGCCGTCGCACCATCGCGACGGCGAGCGAGTTCGAAGCTGCACCACCCGCGCCGACGCATCTCAACAATATTTTAGAGATAGGTGGGTTCGGCGAAAAGGCCAGCCTCTTCGTCGACGCTGAGTCGGTCTTCAAGTCCCCATCTTGGTTCTAAAGAGGCCAACTGAACGTGTTCTGAGGTGGCGCGCCAGCTGGATCTGGCAGATGATGCATCGAGGTATCCTTCATAGCGTGCAACGGTGCGATGAACCAGATATGACGGCTGATTTGTGATGCGCGAGACTGTGATGATTGTGAATGACCACTAAAAGTGATGGTGTAATCAGTCATTCAAGCACGAGGAAAAGCGGTACACACCCTGCGGATGGGAACTCGGCAAAACCCTCCTAGCCCAGCCCGCTGCAGGGCTTGCGGATATTGCGTGTGCGCGAGCAGGCTGAGGGTTTGCAGCTGCTGGGCCGCGGGCAATCAACCGGGCGCGGGCCACGCGCCAGTCATTGCCAGCTCACGAGCTGCATGCCAGTGTCGGCCTGGTCACGGGCTTTCTCTTTTATTGCGCGCTTTGGTGTCTGAGCGTTGCTGCGGATGCCCGCTGAACTCTGGGCTGGCCCGCGGCTCGCTTGGAGCAGCCCGTTTTCCTACGCGTGTATGCTGCTAGACGCGCGCGGCTAGCCGCGATGCGTTTGCTGACCGTGTGCAGAACTCTCTCGCGGTCAGCCCCATGCGCCTTGATATGCTTGCGATGTTTGCGGGGGCTGTCTGTAAGTTGTTTTGCCTCGGCCCCCCCTTCTGATTTTGAACGAAGGTCATAAGGCAAAGGCGAGCATGGCGAGCGCCAGCGCCGCTATGCGACCGCGCCATTCGCGGCGTATCATTGCGCCGGGGTAAAGGCACAAGAAGACGTTCATATCCTTCGATGGTGCATGCTATTATCTCTGGCCTTATCTTTGATCTACCGACCTATTGTTCAATGCTGTGTAAACCATGAGATACCAAGGTACGTCTACGACGTTACCTTTAACACGGGTCTCGGTTTACGCCCTCCTGACATTCGTTGTTCATTGTTTGAGAGATTTTGGTGCGATCTTCGGGGCCGTCTTGCACCGTCTTCGGTCGTCGGACGGCCGACATGGAGCACAAGCCAACAACTTTCGAACACCCGCCGAAGATCAATGGCTTTGGCCCCTTCAAGCTTTCGTACATATCCTCTAAGACATGTATTGGGATGTATTGGAGATTTGTTGGAAGTTTCTTGGGCCGTCCTGGGCCATTCGGAGGTCTCCTTAGACCGCATTGGATGCATAGGTGGCCGTCTTGGGCACATCTTGCAGTCAATCTGGGCTGTCTTGGGGGCATTATGGTCGTTTAGTTGGGCATCGTGAACATTTGGGGCGCTTGTTCGGGCGTTTTGTTGGCCCTCTTGGGGTCGGTGTGGGTGCCTCTTAGGCGGTCATGGGGACATAGTGGAAGCCTATGCGAAGATATTGGGGCGATTTTAGGGGTTTGGTGAGCCCTTTTTGGGCCCTCGGAAGATTAAACATGCGCCCAAACTTAAAGCACCTTCAAATCTAAGGGCATCGATTGTGTTGACCGCTTCGGGCATTCATCTTGAATGCTTTTTCGGCCGACTTGGACGCCTGTTGGGGGCTCCGTGGGACATTCGGGGCCACACAACACGATCCTCGGCCGTCTTGAGTGCGCCTTGAGGCGGGTGAGAGAGATATGTCAACCGTCTTGGGTTTGCTCGAAGCCTTCTGGGCCGTTTTGGAGGCGTTTGCGGACCGTTTTCGAGACCATCTGAGGCCATCTTCGCCGTGTTGGAGGCAATTTGACCAATGAGGTGTGGATTTTCGGCGGGTTTCCTGGTGGCTGGCGGGCTGGGCCAAGATCCCACGAGGATTCTGTTAGAAAGAACCAGGAACCTGCCAGACATTCCGCACGCCACCACGCTTGGGTTGTAGGTCAGAGGTGTATTGGATGCCTGTTGGGATCTCTAGCTATCCCTGTCGGAAGCATTTTGAAGGCAGTTCTGGCTTGCGAGCTCGGAGGCTTCCTTGGGGCGGAGTGCTCGAAATCTCCAGTCGAGTTCCCCATTTAGGGGCCCTTTTGGAGCTCTCTTTGGTAGTTTGTGGCGCCTGTTGGGTAGCCTCGAGGACCTCTGGAGGTGTCTTGCGTCCCTCTTCGGGGCCTGCTGGGCTGGCATGGGGCGATCTTGGGACCTTCCTCGGCCGTCCTGTACGTTGGGAAAGCCTAAGTGCCGAATGTGATGAACATATACGTTGTGTCCTTAGGGACTGGCACGATGCTAGCCTCTTGGAGCCCTGTTGGGAATGCTCTTGGGGCTGTCTTGGGACCACCGTCTTGAAGCTGTCGTGGATCGCTCTGGAGCCCACTTCGTCCATGTGAGGCGGTTCCGGCGACAGTCTCGAAGATTCCCGGCAGTTCCCAAGAGTTTCTGGAGTTCACGGCAGCCCCCAGGAGCTCGCAGCAGCTCGCAATGAGTCCCAGGAATTCCCAGTAATTTCCGGCAGCTGCTGGGGAACCGGGGGTCTAGATCTTCAAGAACTTTACAACCTCTGGACCTCTCAGGGTTGCATGGGTCCTGGGGCGCTCCACTCCGTGCTGAGAGCACGGCGGCGGATTCTTCGGCAATGGAGATCCTGGCCCTGCTAGTCCCAATCGGCAGAATGTTTGCCAGGGTGAGGAACAGACCACTTCATCCACATCCGTCACGACCACATCCGTGACGACGGTGACAACTACAGCACGGTACAACCCTACCGCCATCGTTTACCCTGACGTTTGCCAGATGTGGTTCTTTTACGTCGCAACATCCGCCACGATTTCTTCGCGACGAGCGGAATGCTCTGCCGTGGCCGAAACTATGGTTTCCATTCAACCTCAGGTCACCGTTAATGCTGACAACTACATGGGCTCAGGAAAGGACACAGGTCTCGCAGGCTGTGTCTTTGACCTGGGCGGTGAAACAATCAATTTCTACGACTCACAAGAAAGTACTGAGGCCACGAAACAAACGCTAGTTGCTTACGAGTCTTGGCTGGACATTTGCGACGGCCTTACCACATCCACAGGGTCGTCCACTGTGTCCAAGACTTTTACACAGACATCCATGACCTCTTCCACGACACTGACTACCTCATCGGAGACCTCCACTTCAAGTTTGTCTACATACACAGGGACCTCCAGCACGAGCTTTAGTTCTACCACCGCAACGTCTAGCACGACGTTGACCTCAAGCTCGACGATGACTACGACATCGGGGACATCCACTTTGACATGGACCTCAACCACGACCTGGTCCTCTACCAGCGGAACTTCTAGCACCACTATGACTTTGTCTAGTACCACCAAAACTTCAATCACGACCAAGACCTCCAGCACGAGCTTGACGACGTTCAGCACGACCAGTCTTTCGTCGATCACCGAGAGTTCTAGCACGACCGTGACGAGTTCATCTGGGACTTCCGGTACCACCCTGTCTGAGACCTCGAGCGCGACCGTGTCTTCTAGCACCACTGTGTCTTCGACAACCGATACCTCCAGTACGAGTGTGTCTTCAACCTCCGAGAGTTCTAGCACGACCGTGACGAGTTCATCTGGGACTTCCGGTACCACCCTGTCTGAGACCTCGAGCACGACCGTGTCTTCTAGCACCACTGTGTCTTCGACAACCGATACCTCCAGTACGAGTGTGTCTTCAACCTCCGAGAGTTCTAGCACGACCGTGACGAGTTCATCTGGGACTTCCGGTACCACCCTGTCTGAGACCTCGAGCACGACCGTGTCTTCTAGCACCACTGTGTCTTCGACAACCGATACCTCCAGTACGAGTGTGTCTTCTAGCACCACTGTGTCTTCGACAACCGAAACTTCAAGCACGACCGAAACCTCCAGCACCACCCTGTCTACTGAGACTTCCAGTGCCACCCTGTCTACTTCCACCGAGAGTTCTAGCACGACATTGAGCTCTACCACAGGGACCTCTAGCACGACGCTCTTTACGACAACAGGTACGTCCACTACGACTTTGTCCAGTATCACCGAAACTTCAAGCACGACCGAAACCTCCAGCACCACCCTGTCTACTGAGACTTCCAGTACCACCCTGTCTACTTCCACCGCGAGTTCTATCACGACCTTGAGCTCTACCACAGGGACCTCTAGCACGACGTTCTCTACGACAACAGGTACCTCCAGTACGACTTTGACTACTACCACCGAAACTTCAAGCACCTCTACCACGACTGGATCCACTACCTCAGGGACTACGACAACAGGGACTACGACAACTGAGACCTCCGCAACCGCCACTCCATATCGTCAGTCCGAGATCGCTTGCACCATCGGGCTCGTATTCGCTAGCAACGTCTCAATCGACGAAGTAGCGAACGCTACTAAGAAGTCGATTTCGGTGTACTTGAACGTTTCGTCCTCGCAGATTAACATTGTATCTGTTACCCCATCTTCAACCAATGTTGCGGCACGGAGTGCGAGAGTGCTGAACAGCGCTATTGAAGAATTTGGCTACCAAGTTGTTTACACGGTCTTCGTGGAAGGTACGGACGCGGAGCGTGAAGCGGCTCTCCTGACTGCTCTGGACAACGACTCCAGCGTCCTCGTACCGACGTTGGAGGTGGTGATAGTTCAATTGAACCTGGGCAATTTCACTATTTTCTGGACGACTCCACCAAACGTGCTTCTCTGGATCTATACAACGGCAACGCTCACGTCAACGACAGCCACTTCCACGACGTGCTGCGTCTGTGATCTTCCAACTGTTGACGGCGTGCCAGCTGGACTCATAGGAGACGACTTCAACAGCACTTCTAACATGTCAGACCTGATCCGTATCGAATGCGACGGCCTCAGCTGGTTCGATCTTTGCCATCCTTACTGTGGTCCTGGCTATGTCGGGGTGGAGAGCATGTCTTGCGCCAACACGACCACGCCCATGATACCCTCGTCCTTCGTCGGAGTTGCCAGGTGCGAGCGAGACGTCTGCTCTGGCAGCCCGCCTGCACCGCTGACCGGGTATGAGCCGTGGGGCTCAAACTGCACGGGCATGCTCTACCAGGAACGGTGCACCACTTCGTGCTCCGACGGCTACACGGACCTCGGTGTTCCAGTCCAGCTCGAGTGTCTGGCTTCGACGGCCTGGCCAGTGTCGGGCCCGGTGCAGTACGGCTGGGCCAGCAGTTCGGGCACTTGCACAGAGCTGTCATGCGAGGCGGGCTCCGTTCCGTACTGGTGGGGTGTGGTCGATAGTTCGTCTTGTATCGGCACTGCAAGCCGCGCGAGTTGTTCGCCGGTGTGCGACGAGTCGTACGACTTGGTCGAGCCAATCAACTGCACCAAGGGCCAGTTCGACCCTATCCCACTAGTTTGCATACCCTCCGAGCATTCTGAGGCGCTCGAATACGATGTAGGTGTCTTGCTGCTCCCGATGGCAATCGCTACCAATGAAATCGGGTCTTCTTCTTGGCTCACTGCTGACTGGGTCAGCAGTGACGAAATCCACGCTGCCATCATCAGCCTTCTTGCCAACACATTAGGTTTATTACCAGGTCAGGTGTTTGTTTCAGGGGTGATTGGCTTGAACTCCGATTCGAGCTATGTTATTCCTGCAGCGAGGCGTTTGACGACGCAGCAGGGGGTGTTCTTCAACGCCGTGCTCCAGCCATATCCGATTGACAACCTGACAGCCCTAGAGGCGAGGACAAGCGACCTAGGCGGAGGCAACTTCACCGACCAGCTCGCTGCTGCCCTGCAGCGTGCCGCCGTGAGCCCCCCTGCTGGCCTCGCCCTGGCCACGCTCGTCACCTGGCCGACGGAGCACGCGAGCTTCACTCTGCCCATGGCGAGGTGGGTGGCCAGAACGGAGTGGTCCGCGTGCAGCAACTTGTGCGGCGTGGGAGCGCAGACCCGCATCGTGCAGTGCGTGGGGGCGTGGGACTCAAACGCCACCGACCTCTGCGACGCCAACGCCGCCCCGAGCTTCACCATGGAGTCGTTCATGCCCGACTCTAAGCCTTGCGAGCAGTACATCCAGTGCCCCTACGACTGGAGCTGCCCCAGCGGTCCCGATCCCATTACGGGCGAGGGCTGCGAGTCGCAGGCATCGGCCGTGGCTATCGGGCTCGCTGTCGCGTTCTTGTGCTGTGCTTGTGTGCTCTGCCAGTGCGCTCGCAGGAACAAGGAGGCACTGCAGGAAAAGGTTGATAAGATGCTGGGGTTTGAGAAGAGGAACATCCAGTGGACGAGGGACGAGGACAGAGACCGCACGCACGGCAGCGCCACATTGACGCCGAAGGGTGGCCGGGGCGTCCCGATTGGGCCAGTGGACTTGGATTTCAGCGGCACTGTGGATTTTGAGCTTCAGATGACGGTGACGACTACAGCGAGTGACGCGTTGCTAGTCGGAAAGGTCTACCGCTGGAGTGACCCGAGCCATCAGCGAAACGGGGCGAAGGCCCTGGTTATCAAGCAAGGCACCCTGGCATGGCAAGTTGGCGAGCACTATATCCACGGGAAGATGTTTATCCAGAGGAGCGAACAGCGGCATCGGCATAAACTCTCGGAGGTCCCCGCGGATTTTTCTCGGGTCGGCGCTGGACCCTCTTCCCCACCACTTCCCAGGCGCGCGGAGCGCGCGCGCGCCGAGGGCGGCGCCCGAGGCGTCGTCGGAGGGTGTCCGGCGCCGACGGAACAACTCTGCGCCAGACTCCGACAGGTTATGCTTCTGTGCTTTTGCGTGCCTCTCAGATCGCTGACGGTAAGCGGCACGAGGTTTCGGGGGGAAGAGGAAGAGGATGAGGAGGAGGAGGAAGAGGAGGAGGAAAAGGCGGAGGAGGAGGAGGAGAAGGAGGGGGAGGAGGACGAGGAGGAGGAGGAGGAGGAGGAAAAGGCGGAGGAGGAGGAGGAGAAGGAGGGTGAGGAAGAGGAGGAGGGGGGGAGGAGGAGGAGGAGGAGGAGGAGGAGGGGGAGGAGGGGGAGGAGGAGGAGTCAAGAGGCTGACATGAGGACCATTCTGGACTCGCGCGGGGCTCCAGTTATCCGGTCGGTCCAGCACGGTCTAAGAGTCGAGGAGGCCTGTCCGCGGCCGAGGCTCGACGTGGCTAGGAGAGCCCGTTCGTTTCTTATTCGGCGCTCCCGATGGCAACACGACGATTGTATCCACCTCACCGTACAGTAGGGGCTCGACCACAAGAAACCTTCCACAAGAAGCCCAACCCTGAGACCCCAGGACGTCCATTGGTTTTGGATGCGGGAACGTCACACCTTCCAGAGCAAAACCATCGAAACCCAAGAAAACCAGGGCACCCTGGAGGGAAGCAGGGTGTTTCTTGGCATGGATCTCCACTGTATGGCAGTCCCTTGTCCCTTGAAGGGTGTGGGGTGGCCCTCCCAAATTTGGTCCTGGCCACGGGCGGGACGCCGGCGGAAGCCAGCGGAACACGGCGGGAACCCTGCAGGAACCCTCGGGAAACCGGCAGGACCCCCGGCAGGAACCTGGTGGCTTCTGGCGGCACGCATGGCCTCAGGAGGCCCCACAAATTTCCAGGAAGGCGGAAGATAGGCGCAAGATCTTTTCGAGAGCGCCAAGATGGCTTCAAGATGGCCACCATGGCCCCACGGCTTGGGAGTGGCCCGAGAGGGCCCAGATAGGGCCCAAGTGGACTCCAAGAGAACCTTCAGGATATCCCGAAATACCGAACGGATTGGGTTTCTCTGTGCTTCTGACTGATTTGGGCGACCCAGTCTGTCGTTGCTTCTGTCGTCCCATGACGGCTCCCGAGGCTTTCAAGATGGCCTCAAGCTGGCCTGCGTGGGCTCCTTCGGGAGGGCCCCTTACTGGGTCTAGCAAGGCCACAGGACGCCATGAGGCAGCCCCAGGACGGCCTATTGGCCCCAGGACGGCCCAGGAGACCCCCGATGCCTCCCCGGAGGGCCCAAGGAGCACCCCCGAGAGTGATTCGAGACTTTTTTTTTCCTGGGGGGGTACAGCCCCCGAGAGCGCCAGGGAGCCCCCCCCCCCACCGCAGGGCGCCGGAGGGCGCCAGACGGACCCACGCGAGCCCAGGAGGCCCCCCTTAGAAAACCCCGAGAGTTCCTCCTCCTCCTCCTTCTCCTCCTCTTCCCCCTCCCCCTCCCCCTCCCCGTCCTCCTCCCCTTCCCCTCCCCGTCCTCCCCGTCCCCCTCCCCCGCCCAGGAGGCCCCCTTAGGAAACCCCGAGAGTTGGCCTTACGTCGGGCCTGTCCCTCTACAGGGGGAACATTCAAATAGTAAATCAATAGCTCGGGGACGATACTATGACTATGTTTGATCATTTTTGGATTGTTTTCTGTTCCTCCAAAATTCGCCTGTAGTGGGACACGCCCGACTTAAGGTTACCCTAGACTCGAAAAAGAAAAGACGCCATAAACATAAGCTTTTTTTGCTCCGCGCGGATTTCCTGGATCTGCGCTGGAGACCCCCTCCCTGGCCAGCGCCGCCAGGGGGGACCCGGCGCGGATCCAAGAAATCCGCTCGGAGCGCCCCAAAAGTTTGTGCGAGTGGCGTTTTTTTTCTTCGAATATCACAAACAAGGCATGGGTCTCACACATCCCGATGCCTCCCGGCATCAGATCAAAGTCATCGGACCCCGTGGTGCGCGGCGCACGCCAGGGGCGACGCTGGAGGCGCCGCCTGGGGGTCCCAGCGCAGATCCAAGAAATCCGCTCGGAGCGCCAAAAGTTTTTGTTTTTGGCGTTTTTGTTTTTTCGAGATTCGATGTGGAATGGGAGGGGCAGGGCGAGGAGGTGGAGGTGTTGAGGGAGCAGGGGAGGAGGAGGAGGAGGAGGATAGGGAGGAGGAGGAGGAGGAGGAGGAGGAGGAATAGGAGGACCAGTTTAAAGCTAAGAGTCACCAACGATGTTGGAATAAACCTCCCTGCAAGCTCTCTCTTCATAGGCCCCTACAGCGGGTCATTTCCACTGAGGGAACTGCCTCGTTGGAAGATAATTGTGTGAAGACCCTGAAGCATGCCGAAACATTGTTCCCAGGATTCCAACGCCACGGATCAATTCGAGTGCTGCGTCTTGACGATCTGGAATGGCGCCAGAACGCCATTCTTGGGGTTTCTACACAGCTAGCCAATGTAACTGTTGCACCCTCGTAATCCGGAATCTTTCCAGAACGTACTTTCTGGTACGCTGACCATGGGAGTCCGTGGACTTTTTGCAATTTTAAAATCGACTGTGCGCGGCGTGACGGCGAGAGCACCATTTTGGAAAAGAACCGCCCTCAATCCGTGAAGCCCTTGCAAGTGTTTAAAACGAATGTGCGCGGCGGTAAGGCGAGAGCCACATTTTGGAAGCCAGTCGCCCTCAATATGTGTAACTCGTTGTGCATGTTTGAAACGAATGTGCGCGGCGCTAAAGCGAGAGCCATTTTTTTCGAAAAGCACCCAACATCAATATGTGAAGCTGTTGTCATTGCTTAAACTTCAGGGTCATACTTAGCAAGAAAGTCTCAGGCGAAACGCCCGGCCCGCCCTAAAAACTTGCTTTGGGATGCGACATTGGAGAAGTTATGTATAAGGAAAAGGAATGGCGAAGGAGGAGGAGGAGGAGGAGGAGGAGGAGAGGGGGAAGGGGAGGAGGGAGGAGGGGGGAGGGGGGAGGGAGGAGGAGGACAAGGCGGGTGAGGGAGAGGATGATGATGAGCCAGAGGCTTTTTTTGAGGCCTTCTGGAGTTTCCTCGGATGCATCTTGAGAGTTTGTTGTAGGCCTCTTGGGGCATTTCCGGGCCCTCGTGGCGGTCCCGGGGACCTCTAGAAGCATCTTGGCAGCCTTAAGGGGATCTTTTCGGGCCTCTTTCCTCTTTGGGGGCCCTCTTGGGGCACTAGTGGGAGCCTCGGGGTCCATTTTGGGGCGATGTCGGAGGAGATTGATCAAAGGAGGGGCCGTAGTAAATTACCGTCTCCCCCTCCGAGGAGGCCAAGACATGGGCAAATCTTGCGTAAAATTAGTGATGTGTGCGTTCTCGCCGGGGCCGTTTTGGACGCTCTAGCGTCTCGCAGCCACCCCCTTCCAGACCCAGGGGGAGGGGGTATGGGGGAGGAACCGAGAACATCGGGGTCATGCCCCTGCTGCTCTCCGCTGGCCTGGGGGCTGAAGCATGCAAGGCGTGAGGCCTGGGCGCGTGCCGCGCCAGCCTCGGCCCGAGGGCCCGCGACGAGCTGGGATCAGCGTTGCTGCGCGACATGGCGAGGGAGGAAGAACTGCTACTATGACTTGGCAGCGGGGCCTACGCAGATTTTCGAGAAGATCATGGAGGGGAAGCCCACCGGCACTGAGGCAAGGAAAGCTTAGCCTAGATTGCGATATCCGCCGGCATCGAGATGAATGTCGTCAACGGCATGATGGCCGAGGAGATGGGTTCACTGAAGGAACCGCCGTCCTGGACGCCATAGAACGACAACCGCTAGCCTTTCAGGTTCTGGCTCGTGGACATGCCCAGGTGGGCGGCGTCGAAAGAAGTCCTACCTGAGCAACAAGGGGTGGCGGTGGCTTTGAGGCTTGGAGGGTCAGCCAGGGAACTGGCACGCGATATTCTTCGTGACCAGTTGCGAGTAGATGCCGTGTCTGACTCAGAAGACGACACGGAGCGCGGCAACCCACTGATTTTCAATATCTTTTGTGCTTTTCTCAAGGTCTGACGAGCATAAGTGACCTCCCTGTCTTCTCGGCGCGATTCGGAGTCAGTGGGCCAGACGTTGTGGAAGTTCGAGGTGGCCCGCAGGCGCGCTATGAACATGGCGCCGCAGGGCTATTCGTGGATGCTGTTGGGCGCCTTGGGGCGCACACCGCAGGAGTGGAATGAGTTGCTCATCCACTTCCGCGGGCACCTCCCGAACACGGACCAGCAGTCCAACGAGTTGGCCGACTACATCCGCCAGTGTGGACACATCTTGGTGAGAAGCCGCAATACTACCAACGGGTCCGCCGACTTCGAAATGGTCACGACAACTCGTTCTATCCGATTTACGATTTCGGAGGAGGAAGCGGCGCCTCTTCGAGTGCCGACGGCGGCTGCACAGGCCTAGGCACGGGTGCCCAGGCCTCGAGGCCAATCGCATCAACGTGGGCACCTTCGAACCAGTGGGCGCCGTTCCAGACCCGCGGGCGACTTACCCGCCGAAGCCAGACATGCAAGACGTCGAGGAGCACGATGGGGAAGATGAAGATCCCGACGCCGACGAGGACGATGGCGAGGACCTTATTGGATTAATCGGATTTCCCCAGAAGCGCTGGCGAAGGCCCATTGGTCGGCCAACGCGGTTTCAGAGGTTTGGCGGCAAGAGAGGAGGAGGAGGAGTTAAGGGCAGCCCCTTAGCTAACCGAGGCGGTGGCTTCGGACGTTCCAACTACCGTGGCGGCGGCAAGGGCTACCACGACGAGAAGGAAGGCTGGCGCAATCCAGACGGCTGAGATGGCGAGGTGGCGAGGTGCTTGGCTCCCAACTGCGATTCCGACTTCCACCTAGCCAAGAACTGCCCGCGCAGGACAGGTGGAGGAAAAGGC